ATAATGTTTTAAAGTTTAAAGAAGTTAACATAGAATTACAACCTTGGAGCTACTGTATGTGAACATGTTTTCTATTTCACTTATGAGAAAACAAAGCGAGCAGACTAGACACATGTAAAAGGCAGAGTGACTTCTAGTCTTGTATTTACTCATGTGTAATCTATCAGAGGCAGTCAACCATTCTTGGGGGAACTTTTTACTTTTCAGTAAGAAACTTCAAATAATACAGTGGAAATCTAAAGCCATTGGCAGATCATCAACAGGTCATTGGCAGGATATTGCCTATTTTATTTAGAAATTCTTAGTGGGAACAACAGAACCAGAGAGACTTTGTATAATCATTAAATTTAACCAATATTTCTGAGCATCTATTTTGTGTCACAATGCTGGGGCTTTGGACAGAAAGATATATAAAAAGATAGTTTATGCTTTCAGTCACTTTACATAAATCCAGATAAGTCTAAGAGAACAGGTATATGGAAAACTCTTTATAGAGTCTCAGCATTTACCATATTGCCTAGGAAAAGGGGAGTCAGTCACACAGAGAATATTTACTGGATAAAAGGCAGATTGGGGGATGAAGGGAGGAAAAAGAAAAAAGAGAAAAGAAGGAAAATTGTTTTGAATTAAATTTATGAGTTCTATTTGTAACACTTTTTGTTGGCATTTGTAAACAACTGTGACCTATATACTCATTTACGAAATACACAATTTCTAACTGAAATTCATCTTTAAGAAAAAAAGAGGTCAACTAGAAAGTGAATCCATATGCTATAATTTGAGACAATTTATCAAAAGAAATAAAAAGTAGGAAAGACACTTTTTTACATGTCACCAGTTTAACTCTGAGGCCAAAATTAACCACAATGGGGCAGCTAGAAGTCAGCTAACTGCTTAATGATGAAATAGCCACTTTCAGCCAATTCTTAGAAACTTGGCTAAATTCCCAAAAAGTAATTCACATGAATAAATAAATTAATAGACAGGGCAGGTGATGTTTTTCATATACATCTCTTCTAGTAAAAAAAAAGAAAAAACATTTCACAGAGGAAGGAGAAGGCTTTGGCAACAAGCTGATTTATTGACAAGACTAATTTCTGTTTTGGGAAGAGCAATCTCACAATTTTAGTGAGATTACATCTGATATGACCAAGAGGTAGATTTTCAAATAGTCTAGATTGCTTTTAGGAACTGGGATTCTTTTCCCTTTTGGGAAGACTATCTATGACTAATAATTTCTTTGTGATTTCTGAAACACATGTTATTCCATTCTTTGAATAAAAACAAACAAATTAAAACCTCTTACACCATGTCTTTCTTCTGGTGTGCAATCTCGGACCAAGTTAAAATGAGTGCCATACTGGGGTACTCCTAAATAAATTTAGAGAAGCAAACAGATTTCAGCAAAAGTCATATTTGTTATTTAATGTGAGAGAACAGAATGTTGACTGTGAATGTCTTCAGAAAATTTTATATTCATGACATATATTCTTGAGAATTGTTGACAACCATACATTTTCCCAGTTTAAACAGAGACATTGCCATGCCATGTATACTGCTGATAACTTAGAGTGCCTAAAGTATCTGGTTTCCCATATATTGTCATATAGATTTGATATATACTAAAAATTGATTTTATTGAGCAGGTGTCTTCTTTCATTTAATTTCATTTAAACTGTTTCAGATAAGTGTTATAAATATTATTATCTTCAATTTATAGATGAGAAAATGGAGCTTATGCTAAGGTCATATGATTTTAAATAACACCTATGATTTAAACCAAAGTGGTCTACTGTAGCCTAAGTTCTTGATAACTATATTCTCTGCTGTGTGTTCAGTAATCATCTGAATTAATATAAATTCATTAACTTTTAACAAATATGTTTCTCATTATAAAAGCATACTTAAATATGTAGGTAAATGCAAAGCACAAAGGAAAAATTTAATACATTTGATAATATGAATAATAGACATCTACACAATACAATTAAAAAGCTAAAAATTGTAATAAGGCAGAAAATAATTTTTATTCTCAACATAATAAACAATAATAAATTTTTAACTATACATCAAGTTAGAGAAGGGCAATGCTACAGATAGACAAAACAGATCTAAGTGATTAAAGTAACCTATTAGCTTATGAAATATAAAATGAAAATTATAAGATATCTATAAAATGCAGATTTTAAAAAATTTAAATATATTTTCAGGTTGTCAAAGACTATAATAACTAATTTTCAATATCAGTGAGATGTAAGAAATGTGCAATCTCATGGACTGTAAGAATTGGTAAATCTTTTAGTGACTTGTTAAAAAATATATGTCATATGCATATCTTTTATTCCAGCAATTCCATAGACAATGCAAAGATAAGTGCAAATACATATGCTCGAAGGTATTTATTGTAGATTTACTGATTATATAGAAAAATTTTGGAAGTTTGAAGGTGTGGCTTAAGCAGTAGAATGCCTCCTTTGCAAGCACAGAGCCTTGAGATAAAATCCCAGACTCTCAAAAGAAAAATATTGGAAAAGATGAGTTTTATCAATTATCAGTTATATCATCTATCGTAATTTATACTATGGACTATGTGACTTTAATAACAACAAAAATGTATTTTAGCCTCAACACCAAAATACACTCAGATTATATAAATCAGCATTAAATGGATTACAAAATAAATGTACAATTACAGATAATTAAATTAGAAATAAATAAATATAAAAATTTTATATATTCTTAAACAACTGGAAATTTAAATGTAATACCATGTAGAGTGGTTATCTCTAGAGCAGAGAATAAATAAAACAATTTCATTTTTTTGTATTGTTTAATTTTTAATTATCAGATCAAAAATAAGAATATATGTACATGTTTACATGCATGCAGAAATGTGTATATATTTACCCTTTCTTAAGTAAGATGAATATGGTTTCTGACCTCAAGAAATCTGACCTCAAGAAATCCACTTCAAACTTAACATCTGCATTTTTTCATAGAATTTCATTATGTAAACAAGACTGTAAAATAAAACTTTCCAATTCTGACACAAAGTAATTGCCTAATAAATGACATCCATTTTACTTTTTCTGATGGAAAAGAGCTATACTTTTTTACAGAAATTCCAGTAGGAAGACTATTTTTACATCCAATCAACAGTTGAGACATTCTGAACTAGGTCAGTGACCATATAGCTACAAAAGGGAATTATATAATGGAGAGAGTTAGTCCAAGTGTTGACAAGGAAGAATTAGGAGTCAACATTTGTAAGTTTTCATCTTTAATGTATAGCTTAGAAATGTAGTGACAAAAGTGCTAATGGAAGAAGCATTTAGTGTAAGTCAATGGTTACTTGGTTTGATTTGTAGTTTAATTTTATAAAATTTCTTCTTCTGGATTCTTCCATTTGGTATAATACCTACTAATTTTATTGTATCTCAAGTATTAATAGTCTTTGTATTAAAGGAAACTTGTTAGATAGCTAAAAGAATTTCTTATAAAAGGTTCTTGCTAGTCTGGAAAAGATAATAAAAGCCATAGCAGCCACAAATGTATGGGTATAAAATAAGTTCCAGGCATCTCTGGGATAAAAGTGAACAACAGGGGATCCAGAAAAGTTAATAAAGGACAAAAATTGTTGAGATGCTATGTCACAAACTTAAAATGAGGCAAGTCTAACAGTTGAAAATAAGCACTAAAGAAAGTTGAAAACCAGTAAAGGGAAGTTTGCTTAACTAGAATTCTATGATTAACTCTGAACACGAAATAAGTTGTAATAGGATCCGGAGATGAAAGAATTGTCTTACTCAACCTTGAACCTTGAAATTTTCAGATAAATCACTCAATGGAAATGTCTACTATTTATTGGGCAACTTGAGAGAAAAAAGTGCTGATAATGTCAGAGGTCACAAACAAATCTTCTATAGTTCAAGTCTCTGTCTTAGGTAAAATCATTACAGTGTCATTAATTTTAGATTCTTTGAAATACATTTCCAAGCATTTGAAATCTTTTCTTTAAATGACACATATTTGGGAACTAAGCAAGCCGATTTAGACATCTGGTAGTAACTGTCAAATGTAACTGCAAGTCTTTATTGTTATTTATTGTACACAAAGTTAAACTCTTTGCTTAATATTGCATTTCAAGACCTCTTGGTCTTTTTGTATGCACTGATATTTTGACAGAAATTGAAGACCCCATTGTTTTCATTCATCATACTATTTATTTATTTTTTTTTCTTTTATTATTCATATGTGCATACAAGGCTTGGGTCATTTCTCCCCCCTGCCCCCACACCCTCCCTTACCACCCACTTCACCCCCTCCCTCTCCCCCCCACCCCCTCAATACCCAGCAGAAACTATTTTGCCCTTATTTCTAATTTTGTTGTAGAGAGAGTATAAGCAATAATAGGAAGGAACAAGGGTTTTTGCTGGTTGAGATAAGGATAGCTATACAGGGCATTGACTCACATTGATTTCCTGTGTGTGTGTGTTACCTTCTAGGTTAATTCTTTTTGATCTCACCTTTTCTCTAGTTCCTGGTCCCCTTTTCCTATTGGCCTCAGTTGCTTTTAAGGTATCTGCTTTAGTTTCTCTGCGTTAAGGGCAACAACTGCTAGCTAATTTTTTAGGTGTCTTACTTATCCTCACCCCTCCCTTGTGTGCTCTCGCTTTTATCATGTGCATCATACTATTTAAAATGTATTATGTATACCTCAAATTTTTATTGAGTTTTAAGAATTATACTTTGTAATGATTTCTACATCCATGTGCTTGTATGTATCAGACCTACATTCCTAATAGAGGTAGAGAAAATTTAAACACCAAGAATTTTCCACATACATTTTTAGTGTGGTTTTGTTTCTCTTGCCCTATGTAATAGCTAAGAAGTGTTAGATATTGAAAAGGTCCTCAATATACATGGTTAGTACTAATGCTAAAACATTGTAAAGTACATTCGAAATGTAAACATCTATTTTTTCAGTGTTCCACTATACGATGGATTCTCCAGAGGCTGAGTATTATGAAAAATTTGGTGAAATCAGTGGAATTCTAATGTATAAAGACTTTCTTGAATATTGGGATGATGTAGAAACATTCCCAGCAAGGCCAGATGACCTCGTCATTGCCACCTATCCTAAGTCTGGTAAGTTGTTGCCAGGTCAGGGTTGTTTCTCACCCAGAAATTATAAACCCATCCTAAGTAGTAAATATTAAGCTGTTCACTTCCTATATATTCCTTTTTCCACATTAAATAAGGGAAGTTGCAGTAATTTATCTCTATTACATCTCTATTCCAAAACCTCAAATTGTTTGGCCACAGCCTGTAACTTGAGCAGCACATTGATGAATGGATATTGTTGGTAACGAATACATATGCAACAAGGACGAATTTATATTCATTCAATAATGAAAATTTAAAACTACAAAGTGTTTACCTATACTGTTATTTCATTGTATATACAGTGTATAAGCACTTTTCACCGATACTTAAAAACTCAGCTAACCATCTCCACTTCTTCAAATCTGTCCACAAAACTTATTTCTTAAGCAATGCCTTTTTATGAGATTAGCTCAACTGATCATCACAGTTTTACAATCTTACAGTCAATCATAGACCTTTACTAATTGCAACAGTCCAGACATCTCTATTTCCATGTTCTATTGAACTCTTAAAAATAAATGCATCTTGGTGTGGTGGTGCATTCCTGTAATCCCAGCACTTGAGAGGGTGAGACAGGAGAATTGCAACTCTGATTCTAAAACCATTCTTCCATTTCTCTTCTTGGCTGGGCTTAAAAGGAACATAATACCTATCATCTGAGGAATAAATCCAAGGCCTGTACTTGATTCAAATCATTGTGCTTCTTCATTTCCCTAAAGCAATAAATCAAAAATGATTTGTCCATTTAGTCTGATAGATATGTCTCACAGTCAGCATTTTACCAGATCCTCTCATCTCCCTTGTGCCATTACCTTGTTTATTCTGTTACTATGGGATTTCTTCTAAAATACATTCCTGATAATCTTGCTCCCTTGCATAATGTATGTCCATGTCTTTCCATAACTTTGATGAAACAACTCAGACTCTTTAGTATGAATTACAAGGCATTTGATGCCTGCAATCTGCTTCCCTCTGTAGCTTTGCTCCCACTCATCTCTTCAGATAGACTCTTTGATTTAGCCTGCATAGTCTTCTGCAAATTCTTTTCTTCACCACTTTACAGTTCTTAATATCTCACCTAGATTTAAACATAGAGTCCATGCTTCTGCCTGATAGGACCCTTCACTACCTCACAAAAATAAGTAATTTATTAATCCTAAACTCAATTACCTTGGTCTCTAAGAAACAATTCTTGTAACTAGATCCATGTATATCACCCTATACCAATATTAACTCAAAATGGATCAAGGATCTTAATATCAGACCACAAACTCTAAAGCTGATACAGGAAAGAGTAGGAAATACTCTGGAATTAGTAGGTATAGGTAAGAACTTTCTCAATGGAACCCCAGCAGCACAGCAACTAAGAGATAGCATAGATAAATGGGACTTCATAAAACTAAAAAGCTTCTGCTCAACAAAAGAAATGGTCTCTAAACTGAAGAGAACACCCACAGAGTGGGAGAAAATATTTGCCAGCTACACATCAGACAAAGGACTGATAACCAGAATATATAGGGAACTTAAAAAACTAAATTCTCCCAAAACTAATGAACCAATAAAGAAATGGGCAAGTGAACTAAACAGAACTTTCTCAAAAGAAGAAATTCAAATGGCCAAAAAACACATGAAAAAATGCTCACCATCTCTAGCAATAAAGGAAATGCAAATTAAAACCACACTAAGATTCCACCTCACCCCTGTTAGAATAGCCATCATCAGCAACACCACCAACAACAGGTGTTGGCGAGGATGCGGGGAAAAAGGAACCCTCTTACACTGTTGGTGGGAATGTAAACTAGTACAACCACTCTGGAAAAAAATTTGGAGGCTACTTAAAAAGCTAGACATTGATCTACCATTTGATCCAGCAATACCACTCTTGGGGATATACCCAAAGGCTGTGACACAGGTTACTCCAGAGGCACCTGCACACCCATGTTTATTGCAGCACTATTCACAATAGCCAAGTTATGGAAACAGCCAAGATGCCCCACTACTGACGAATGGATTAAGAAAATGTGGTATCTATACACAATGGAATTTTATGCAGCCATGAAGAAGAACGAAATGTTATCATTTGCTGGTAAATGGATGGAATTGGAGAACATCATTCTGAGTGAGGTTAGCCTGGCCCAAAAGACCAAAAATCGTATGTTCTCCCTCATATGTGGACATTAGATCAAGGGCAAACACAACAAGGGATTGGACTTTGAGCACATGATAAAAGTGAGAGCACAAGGGAGTATGAGGATAGGTAAGACACCTAAAAAATTAGCTAGCATTTGTTGCCCTCAATGCAGAGAAACTAAAGCAGATACCTTAAAAGCAACTGAGGCCAATAGGAGAAGGGGACCAGGAACTAGAGAAAAGGTTAGTTCAAGAAGAATTAACCTAAAAGGTAACACACACGCACGGGAAATCAATGTGAGTCAATTCCCTGTATAGCTATCCTTATCTCAATAGCAAAAACCCTTGTTCCTTCCTATTATTGCTTATACTCTCTCTACAACAAAATTAGAAATAAGGGCAAAATAGTTTCTGCTGGGTATTGAGGGGGTGAGGGGGAGAGGGAAGGTGTGGAGGAGGGGGGAGAAATGACCCAAACATTGTATGCACATATGAATAATAATAATAAGAAGAAGAAGAAGAAGAAGAAGAAGAAACACTTCTTGCTATCTTATTAGCAGACATAGTATGAGTAACATACTCATTGCAGTTCTTTGTATCCCTCTGCACATTCATTTTATAATGTCATAGGAAGGGTAGCATGGCCATTACTGAACATTGTTTCTGACTCTTCAAAGGCCCACCTAAGGGCAGGGAACAGATTTATACTTTTTTTATTCTCTGAACTAGAACTCAACTGAGGCATAAAATATGTCAGTAAAATTTGTGGCTGAAAGTATGCTTTTATACATCATCTATCCTTATTTCTTAGTTGTAAAACTTGAAGTCCAGTATGTTACCAGCTTTCACAGTGTCACAGCTCATCATGGGCAAATTAGACACATTGACCAAGTATTACTATACTAATTTCCTCATTTGTTGAAGTCACTTTTGAATGCTGTAAGATTAAATATTAGAGAAAAGAATTGTTTGAGTTTATGACTATTTAAATGCTATTCAAATAGTATTACATTGATATCCTCCTAATTTATCTATCTATAAATCCAGCACCCTGTTATCAGCCCTGAATATTCAGTGGAGTCTCATGTTTGTTTACTTTTTTAGGCACAACCTGGGTTAGTGAAATTGTATACATGATATACACAGAAGGTGATGTGGAAAAATGCAAAAAAGATGCAATTTTTAATAGAGTACCTTACCTGGAATGCAGAAAAGATGAGATGCTGAATGGTAATGTTCAAGTTGATTTTTCAAAGCTACATGTGTATGTTTTGAGATGTGGATGTAAGTAATGCAAACCAAAAGGTTATAAACAAGAGTGTCAATTAGAATTATATCTTCTACATAAGAGCACTTATAAATTTAAATTTATTTATTTATTTTTTTTTTCACATCTTTTTTTTTTTTTCATTTTTCTTTTATTATTCATATGTGCATACAAGGCTTGGTTTATTTCTCCCCCCTGCCCCCACCCCCTCCCTTACCACCCACTCCACCCCCTCCCGCTCCCCCCCTCACTACCCAGCAGAAACTATTTTGCCCTTATCTCTAATTTTGTTGTAGAGAGAGTATAAGCAATAATAGGAAGGAACAAGGGGTTTTGCTGGTTGAGATAAAGATAGCTATACAGGGCATTGACTCACATTGATTTCCTGTGCGTGGGTGTTACCTTCTAGGTTAATTCTTTTTGATCTAACCTTTTCTCTAGTACCTGTTCCCCTTTTCCTATTGGCCTCAGTTGCTTTAAGGTATCTGCTTTAGTTTCTCTGCATTAAGGGCAACAAATGCTAGCTAGTTTTTTAGTTTTTTAGGTGTCTTACCTATCCTCACCCCTCCCTTGTGTGCTCTCGCTTTTAACAGGTTTATAGTGTAGCACCTGTCTGAATTAGAGTGAATTAAGCGCAGCTTTTATATGCATTCAGCAGTCTAGTAATATGTGAGCCTTTATTTCTCTGTGGGCTGCCATGGGATAATATTTTAAGTACTGGTAAAATGTTTATAAGTTTTCAAAAATGTATTTTAATATATTTAATATGCTTATCACAAATTCTTTTAATATTTTGGAAAACTAAAAACAACTTAAATGTTAACCAACCAATTTTGTAGTATAATAACACTAGGAAATAATTTTAAATATTGGCATTTGTTGTGACATTGCAGCTGAGTATAATGTATAGAAGAAAAAAGGCAATGAGAAGATATAAAAAATTCTCTTGTATGTAAGTTTGGGAAGGCTGTGAGTCAGGGCATATGAAGTATATTGTACGAAAGGTTACATACCAGAATGTTGACAACAATTTCTCACCTTTAAGGAAATTTTATTGATTTTTTTTCTCTATAATTTCTTTTAGCTATATTTTCACAGTAAAATATATTATTACTGTGAATACAATACAGAATCTTAAAAGCTACCACTGTTTTAAAGATATCTATATTATTACCATTTTTGAAGTGTAACTTGTCATTTTTTTAAAAATCAGGAGTAAGACAATTAAAAGAAATGAACTCTCCTAGAATAGTGAAGACTCATCTACCACCTGAACTTCTTCCAGTCTCATTTTGGGAAAAAAACTGTAAGGTAATCAGAATTAAGTGTTCTCAGAACTTCACCAAACTCAGAAATTAGAATGATCAGGTCAGATAGTACCTAAACTATGTCTTATATACATATACTTGTTTATTTATTCTCATTGACTGTACAGATATTTTAACAAATGTGGATTATAGTCAGTATAGTCAGAGAGTCCAGGTTTTTATTTCAACTCTTTCATTTGCTGGAGGTGATTTTGAAAATTTAAGTTAAACTCAGCAAGTCTGTTTGCTTGTCTGTAAAAAAAAAAATAATATTAATAGCATCTTCCTCATAGAATTAAGGATTAAATTATGCTTCAAAAGTGCTTAATGGAGTACCTAGCATATTATAAATACTCAATAAATAGTATTTAGTCAATACTGATTTGTTGAATATCCTCCTTTGGGAAAATATTGTGCTTGGCATTGTGATATATACAAATGAATAAGAAAAGGATAAAATAGACAAATATCATATAAATATTTATTGAGTGACTTGAGTCCATTTATGTCATTAATAACATAATACCCAAACTGGGTAAGTTATAAAGGAAAAGGTTTATTTTAGTTCATGTTTCTGGTGTAAGGTGTAGGTTCTGCTTCTGGTGATGGCCTTATTGCTGGCAGAGTCCTAAAGCAGCACACAGTATCACGTGGAAAGAGACAGGAGGTACACTTGTGTGAGTGTGTGTTCTGATCTCTCCTTGTTCATGTACAGCCACTGGTATTTGATCATGGGGACACCTTTTTAGTGGCTTTTTCTAATTCTAATCACTTCCTAAATGTCTCACCTCCAAACTTCATAGTGAGAAGTATTCATCCCCTTAATGGCTCAAAATGAGAAATCAATTTCAACATGCTTTTTGGAGGGTGCAAACCATATTTATACAAAGCACTTCTTATCTTGTGCTAGGGACATGATAAGACACAGGAAATCCTTACCTTCATGAAAACATAGTTCTTTGGAAAAAAGGAACAAATAAATACAATGCCAGAAACTTACAGGTTATGTAAGAAAAGACTTCTTATCCAGACACTCAGGAGGATAAGGCAGGAGGATCACAAGTTCAAGACCGGCATGGGCTACATAGCAAGACTTACTGAAAAACAAAAAAAGAGTTTTCATTTTCTCTATAATTTTAGGTATCTTATCTATTTCCATAATAAATAAAGTATTATGTTTTTAGTTGAAAACATTTATATTTAAATCTTCATGACTCTATGGTTGAAAAACCATTAAAGGATTTCATACATGATTTTATCCTCTTAGATGATCTATCTTTGCCGGAATGCCAAAGATGTGGCTGTTTCTTATTATTATTTCTTTCTGATGGTAACTGCATATCCAGACCCAGGATCTTTTACAGATTTTGTGGAGAAATTCATGGAAGGACAAGGTAGGAACATGTTCTTTTCTCTGAATTCTTTCCAGGTTAAGTAATACAAGACAAATGACATCTTTGCACTTGTGTGTGTGTGTGCATCTGCACCCTCATATGGAATATAGACATAATAAAAATACAGTATTATGAAAAATAGGTCACACTAAAGGAGGTAACGTATGAGACAGGGAGGGTAGATAAAGAAAGTTAAAAAGATGAATATGATTGATCTACTCTCTATACAAGAACAAACATAGAATTTTTAAACCTATTAAAACTACCATAAGAAGAGGACTAAGGTAGAAAGAAGAAAAATAGAGATGAACCAATTCAGGTTATAGTACATGTATACATACAAATGTCACAAGGAAGCTCCTTGTTTAGCTACCTTAAACAAACAAAAATGTCATTTTTTTTCTTTTATAAAATCAGAGAACAGGAGGGCAAAACAGGTCCTGCCTGAGGGTAGGGCGTAATACCAGTGGAAGGGAGGAAGAGTTGGGGAAAGGATGTAGGAGGGTGAATATAGTGCAAATAGTGTACACACATACATGTAAATGGAAAAATCATTTCTGTTGAAACTGTTCCAGGAATGGGGGGAATAAAGGAGAATGAATGGTGAAGGGGATGAATTCAAGTATGGCATATTTGATATATTGTAAGAAGTTTTGTAAATACCACAATGTACCCACACCCAGCACAACAATTTAAAAAAGAGGGAAAAGAAAAGAGAAAGCTATGCTGATTCTTTAGCAATAATTGATAAAGCAAATCATGGTTCACTTTTCATATCTATAGAAAATAATATTAGTCAATACATGTAGGATGTGTTTGGTTTGTGGAAAAAATTATACCAAATCATCATGAATATATACTTTAAGATTGTCAAGACTCACATTGCAGGACAGAGAAAAATAATGTTGCATGTTCATGCAAGGAATGAATAAAATTACAAAAAATATCATTGAGGAACTTTTTCTATAAGGAACAATTGCCTGATTAAAGTGAATGAACAGATGAAGTACACAATGATTCAATACAAAGTAAAACACTTTGACTCTCACACCATTTGTTTTGTTAGCTTTTATGGGATAAAACGTATATAGATGAGAGAAAGAAAAGGAAGAGTCAGCATTTGATCATATCACATAATCTCCTGAATTTTCTAAAACAAGAATGATGCTTATTGTCCCTAAAAGAACACTTCCTACAATCTAAATAGTGTAATAAATGCTCATATACTTACTAATTTCAGTTGTCAAAGCTAGTATATAAGTGGTAGGTTTGAGACAAGAACTGAACTTTTCTGACTTACAAGATCTATTATATTTCCACTAATTCAACTCCCTTCATTAAAAACAGACTTTATAAATACACACAGGTATACATCAACAAATACACACATAAACCAGTTTAAGAAATGTCATAGTTCTGAATCAAAGTGATGGAAGAAGGAGTTCCCTCACCTTTTCTCTGCATTGTAAACCACATCACAATGATAAAATTGAAGTGTGTTTCTGTACATATTTTACCTCTCTTATGGAAGAGAACTTTGCTTAGCAGGTGCAACTGACCTACTAGTTCTCACTCCATTATCACACATTTAAATGTTTGTTGCTGTTATTTGAGTACTTGTTTTCAAGCTATATAGAGATGATACTATACTTTACATTTTTTTTTATCTCTTTTTTTCTCTAATTTTAGTTCCTTATGGTTCCTGGTATGATCATGTAAAATCTTGGTGGGAAAAGAGAAAGAATCCACAGTTGCTATTTATTTTCTATGAAGACATGAAAGAGGTGAGAAACTGAAACTATATAAGCAATTAAGAAATTTCTAAGATAGTAGCATTTGACAGCATTCTGAACAAAAAGCCTGCCTTTAAATAAGTAATTGAAGCAACCTGCAAAGGTTTTAAAAGGAAAAGACCACAATAATCCAGCTACTTTGGCACACTTAAATATAAGTATTCTGTAAATAAACACATTTAAACCCATCTCAGAATTTTCAAATATTTGAAAAAGCTTGACTTAATAAAATAATAATACACACACAAAATTACCATCAGAAAAGAGTTGACCAACTGATCTTCAAATATGTAAATGTTAGATTTATTAAATAAATTCTGTAAAGCAACTATACTTAATATGTGGAAAAGAAAAAGGGGAGATTTAAAAATGTATGCCCCAAATCATAATATCCATTTGCTCTGTATTCAGAAACTGTTTCAGTTTCCAGTTTATTTGAATTAATGAGAAGCTTAAGAATAAATAAGTTAACTTTTCTTGTTCCTACAATGTATCAATTAGAAAGAGAAAGACACATTAACAGTCTGCTTATAGACATGACATTTTGAGTAAGATAAGTGAATGAGAGATAACAAAAATACATATGAGACAGTAGATTTATTTGAGAATTTATGGGAGCAAAATTTGGGTCACCAAACTAAAACTGAAATAGTCCTGCAAATCATCTGGAAGAAAGGTTAAGTAACTTGAAATTTGAAAGGCAAGATACAGTTCTTCAGGTAGAGAATTTGTAAACACCAATCTCCATAGTGAGAACTGTGCATGAGGATGTATGTAGTTGCACTAAGTGATTTAGCTGACTAACAAGGCATAATGTAAGCTGGGCCCTGGCAGCTCCTGCTGTAATCCTAGCTACTCAGGAGACATAGATCAGCAGGATCACGGTTTGAAGCAGCTTGGGCAAATAGTTCATGAGACCTTATCTAAATAAAAAAAGCATCAGAAAAAAGGGGCTGGTGGACTTGGCTCGAGGTGTAGGCCATGAGTTCAAACCCCAGTACTGCAAATAAATAAATAAATAAATAAATAAGGTACAATGCAGGAGTCATAGAGAGAGATGGGAATGTGTTTGATTCTGATGCATATGCATCTGATGTGTTCTATGCTGAACATTTGACTTTTACACTTTCTCTAAATCTCTTTGGTTGTATTTCTTCTCATTAATTGTCTTCAACAAATTAGAAGAAGAGGTTCCTGCATATTTTCATTTCCAAATCTGATCTTTCACAGAGCACTGTATTCTTGAGAATATGCATTTATATTTATAGATAACATTCATATATAGTGTACATATACTGTACACTAAGAACTGTAATAAACATTTTACAAAATTAACTCATTTAGTTCTTCTAATAACCTTTGAAATATATTTTATATCAATTTTATGGATGAGAAAAATTATGTTTGTAAAAAAATAGTATTTTAAAAAAGTTATTTTCACAAGAAGTGGTTTTCTTCATTAGAAGTCAAGTTCCAAGATGAGTGGAGAATGAGAAAGTTTTTATCTCTTTCAATTTTTATGGAAATGTATTTAGTTTTATCAACTTAATAGTCAATGCATCTTTTTTCTCTCTAGGATATCAGAAAAGAGGTGATAAAGTTGATAAATTTCCTGGATAGAAAGCCATCAGAGAAGCTTGTTGACAAGATAATAAATCATACATCCTTCCAGGAGATGAAGAACAATCCATCTACCAATTACACACTCCTACCAGAAGAAGTCATGAACCACAAAGTGTCACCCTTCATGAGAAAGGGTGAGAAAGTCATATGGTTTATCCCTATTGCTGTAGAAAGTTGTAAGTTGCCACAGTGATAGGCAAAAATGTAGTGAGGGCAATTTGTATTGTGGGCCCAGCATATTTTGTATTGAGCCCCAGGACCTCATGCTTGCCAAACAAAGAATCTACCACTTGAGCTATAAACCCCAATCCTCCTTTGCTTTTATTTTGTTTTTGAGACAGGGTCTTATTAACTTTTCCAGAGCTGGGCCTGAACTATGATCTTCCTGCCTGCTTCATAGCTAACTGGGATTATAGATATGCACTACCACATCCAGCTAGCATGTTTTCTTTAAGGCTCTTTCACCTTCAAACACTCTTTTGAATTATCAGTCTGCAGAGGCATAAAACACTACTGTTTCTACTGGTAAGTTACTATTACTTGCTGGCCAGTCAGTTTTGCAGCATGTTATATTAAGAATAACCAGTATACATCCCTACCTTAGACCAGCAATTTCCCCACACTCTGCTAACTGTCATTTACTAATCTCAGTAGCATCAGTACTATTGTTTCTTTAGGATCTCAGCAGGAAAATGGGCATATTATTATTTCATCTTGAGGTAAAGAAATGAATTAGAATAACTAGTCAGCTTTTCTTTGAATGAGTGACAGAAACTTCCAAGACTAAGTGGTAAAGATAGGAATTCATTATAGTTCTGTTTAGCAAAAATATCAAAATAAAATGAGATGGAATTCTATTTAGGAAAAGGCTTGACCTGATGAGATGGTTATTTTAGAAGTTCAAAGACACATACCAGATGTGGAGTATTGAGATATGTTTTTATTAATGTGTGAGGAAAGTAGAAACAGAAAAATTTTGCTCTTTAAATCAAATTAGCAGTGAAAGAGTCAGAGAATTTTTAAAATAACATGAAAAACAAACTTGCCAACAGGCAGAAACAAGGAGCCCTTGAAAAGAGAGACAGCCAATTCTAAGATCATATTGAATCTATTTCAAGATTGTCTTCTTCCCAAACATGTCTACATATACATAATCCTTAAAATGATTGTCATACTTGTAAAGGAATGTTAACTGCTCCATCCTCAGAACCTATCTGATTTTTAGGGTACACATTTCTGTCTTCTGCCTTTGGGGTTTTTTAGTGGGTGAGTTTCGGATTCTTGATCAAGGGAACAAGTGAATTACTAATTTACAAAGGTGGGTAACCTCCTTCCACAAGATGAACATGGATGTATGATAGAATGTACACTGTTGAAATAACCCAGGTGGCAACGTCTGAACTGTATTTGCCAATGGCAGCAAAAGTGGAGAGGAGCCAATGGATGCAAAGAAAGTCTGAATATGAATAATGAATTAGATGCTATGGTTGGGGAGGTAGATTCCAAGCTTATGTCTTAGATGCCTGGTATTGTTATTAACAAGGTTGTGAAAAACTATATAGAGAAAACATTTTGGGGGAATCAGTACAGGGGATGAACTCAGGGCTTAATGCTTGCTAGGCAGATGCTATACTGTTTGAGCCATATCGCTAGCTCTTTTTGTTCTGGTTATTTGGGAGACAGGGTCTTGTGTTTTTTGCCCAGGCTGGGCTGGACCATGATCCTCCTATTTTAAGTTTCCCACCATAGCTAGAATGACAGGCATTTGCCACCTTGCCCAGCATTTTCACTTGAGTTGGGTCTCATGACATTTTTAGCCTGGGCTGTCCTCAAACTGCAATCCACCTGACCTCAGCTTCCCAAGTAGCTAGGATTACAGGATGGAACCACCACTGCTAGTCAGAAAACACAATTTGATGGGAAAGAAAATAAACTTATTTTTGAACTAATGGAATATGGAATACTTGGATAGCATCCAGGTGACAATGACATGTAGTCAACTGGAAATGAATATAAGTCTGGCTTTCAGTGTGTCATGAAAGTTTCATGAAGGTGATACTTAAAAACTTGGGAGTAGGTGAAGCATGGTCTCACCCTGGAACCCCAATATTTGAGAGGAAATTAAAGAAGGAAAATTAAGTGAAATAATGTAAGCATAAGAAGGAATAGTCGAAGAATGAATATGCCAGTTTTTAAACCAATCAATACAGATTCATTCATCCAAGCTCAAATAATATAATATGTCTCTATATAATATAATGTCTACATTTAATTGATAAATTTTAGAATTAAAAGAAAAAATGATCAAGTCTTAATAAAGTGGTGTGCATTAGAAAATCTCATGATTTTGGCTCCAAAGTCTTAATATTTTTCGTTCTCCTTTCGTACAGGAATTGCAGGAGACTGGAAGAATCACTTCACAGTATCCTTGAATGAGAGATTCGATGTGCATTATGAACAGCAAATGAAGGAGTCCACACTGAAGTTCCGAACAGTGATCTAAAAAGGGATCTAAGAGATCTTTTCTTAATGTATCCGAGATTAAACATTTCTTCTCATTATTCTCCACTTTTTCTCTTTTAAAAAAAATTTTTTTTCTGAGTGTGCATTTTTAAAATTTCTTTTATTCATATGTGCATACAATATTTGGGTCATTTCTTCCCCCTTCCCCCCACCACTTCCCTCCCCCCGCCACTTCCTCCCTCTCCTCCCCACCCTTTTGCTTGCAGGCAGAAACTGTTTTGCCCTTATCTCTAATTTTGTTAAAGAGTAAGTATAAACAATAATAATAACGACCAAGGGTTTTTGCTAGTTGAGATAAGGATAGCTATACAGAGAGATTCCTCGCATTGTTTTCCTGTACATATGTGTTACATTCTAAGTTGATTCTTCTTTAACTAACCTTTTCTCTAGTTCCTGATCCCCTTTTTCTATTGGCCTCTGTCACTTTAAAGTTTCTGCATTAGTTCCTTTGCATTGAGGACATCAAATGCTATCATGTTTTTTTGGGTTCCTTACTTATCTTCATATCTTCCTTGTGTGTTCTCGCCTTGGTGTAGAGTACTACCAGCCTGTTACAGTTGCCCATCCCCTGGTCTCCAGCAGAGTGTGCCACACATCGGCCACTGTTGCAAGCCTTGCCCACCCTTAGCTCACTGGGGGGAGCCACCAAACCCACCCTCTCTGGCAGGCTTGTATATTTAGAGTTCCTGTGGGTGCCTGCCCCTTCTCCTTTCTCCAGAGCTCAAAGCGGCCCACCCTCTTTTCTACTTGTCCTATTCAGTTGCTTGTTTATTATTATTATTATTATTTTTTTTTTGCGGAGCGGGGTCAGTCTGTCCAGGAGGCTTTGCTGGCTTATCCCAGGGTGGCTGTGGGAGAACCGTGTGCCTCTTATTTGCTCACCTGTTGGTTTGCGTCTCCCAAGCAAATTAGGAGCCAGCATGTGGTGGCACAGGAGCCCTCCGTATATCCTGGTGTGGGGAAGCTATGTGCGGGCTAGGGGTTTGGGGATGTCACAGTTTTGCCTCTTCTTGGTGGTTTCTCCTGCCAGGTCTGCAGTCTACAGTGTCTGAGCAAGATTTTTACTTTACGGAGCTCACACTCTCTCCTTCCTCCCTCCAGTTGCCATCTTGGAACCTCTCACTTTTTCTCCTTTTAGATTGGTAGGGAAAAAGAAGTCTTAAAGGATCATGGTTCAAGTTCACATTTTTATTGAGCTATTTGTGTAAAGGAGCAATAAGGTTTTTTTCTGGTACTATTTTTATTTTGTTTTTTTCTCCTAGCTCCTTTTAAACTAATAGTAAATAAAGCTATTATCTGTAGAAATGATATAAGTACACACAGTTAATTCAGTTTATTAGAGATTATGAAAAACAAACATTTCAAACTGTATTTATGGTAATTTTTTTCCTTTTTTTTATTTAGTAGGACATTTATATTATGTTTATAATCAACAATTACCTGTAAATACATTTAAACAACAAATAAATAGTATTGGATTATAGCCCACAGTACAAATCAAATATCCATGAGTCCACACTAATATAAATAAATGACTAAATAATAATTAAATGGCGAAAATGATAAACTGCCAGTAAAGAATTCTAATTAATTACATGTAATTCCCTACCTCATCCTTTAAGTGGGATTTATGTGGTAAAGTCCTTGTAAAGACTATGGAAAGGTTCAAGAGTGGAGTGTGGAGGAAAGAGTGATTTTGTGGTGGAGAGATTTGGCAAACCCTACTTCAGCCAGGTTACCAATGGTTACCTCCTCAGTGACCAGACATGTTCAAAGTAGGTGACATGTGATGAAAATGAAAATATTCTGCAGTCTTTTCCCCCAAAACATATAACCATTATCTATCCAAGAATACAAAATTTAGACAAACCTAAATCTGAAAGATGTTACATGAAATAGTTTTATATTCAAATTATTCCAGAGCTGGCAAAAAGGCTGTGTTTTTCTTTATAGACCTATCATCTTTAGGGAACTTGATTTATCATGTATTTTCTTGTTACAATTCTGGAACCTGATATTTTTCCAAGGAAATAGAGTTTCTTAAGTGGAAGATAACATTTAGAAGTCAAGATCTGGGTAATTTGCATGGTCATTATTACTAGACTGTCATTGTTTCTAGGCCATCTACCTCTTTTTCTGTCTCTCTTCACACATACAATTTGCACATGTAGTCTAAGCAATACAGATTCATATGAATATCTAATCCAATTATAAACTTTGATGGTTTTATCTAGACTTTTCTTTTTCATAATGTTTGTTTGTCAATGTTTGCTTAATTCCTACTTTGCACATAACCAGTCTCCTGATCCTGTTTACCACTTGTTCTGTCATGCTGCCTATTTGACCTTTGGAGTCACTACCACTTACCTACTCCTCAGGTATGCTCTTGTGTGTTAGGTCACAGAAACTCAGCCCCTTGTCATACCCTCTCTTGTAAGAGAAATGAAGAAGAAAAAAAGAAAGAAAATGAGGAATTTGCACTAAACTTCATAGGTCTAATGTCATCTAGGTATAATAAAAAAGGGAATCACGTGAGTCTCCCTTCTACTCTTACTATATTCCTATTGGCAATTGGAATCCACCTTTTTTTCCTCCTAAACCTACAAGATTCTCAAAAGCTCTGCTCCACTTCTTAAACAACTTTGAGAAATCAAAAAATGTCCATGTAAATAGCAATGCTCTATTGTCTAGATTTCCATTTCTTCTGGATTTTGACCAATATGTAAAAAATTCTCATTAGTTCACCAATGTGAACCAAACCCAAAATAAGCAGAAAGCAGAAAACAATAAAAATAAAAACAAGAACAAATGTAATTGGATTTAGGAAAACAACAAATAAAATTAAAAGAACCAAAACAAGTTTTCAAAAAATAAACAATATTGATAAATCTATAGCAAAACTGGTGAAAATCAATAGATGAAAATCATGAAAATTAATAATGAAAACAGAACACAATGCAAACTCTGTACCTAATAAAAGAATAAAAAGCACAAGTTACAAAAAATAAAAAAATAAAAAAAAAAAGGACAAGCTACAAACAACTTTATGTTCATAAACTTGGCAAGTTAAAAACAATGGACCAGTTCCTAAAAAACACATAATAAGAAATTCAGGCAAAGTGGAATAGATAATTTAAATAATCCTATAACTATTAAATCAATTGGATTTTAATTAAGATATACTTGAAAAAGAAATCCCATGCATAGATTGTTTCATTAAAGAATTTTAACAAACATTTCAAAAGGGCAAAAATTAATTTTAGTGTCTTACAGAGTACTGAAATGGAGAGAACTTTCTTTTTAAGGTTATAAGTTGGATGCTCTGTATTATTCTGATATAAAAAACAAACCAAAATAGTTTAAACACAGAATGAAAACCACATACCAATATCTGTCATGAATTTAGACACAAAATCCTCAACAAAAATAATAGCAAACTGAATCTAACAATATATATTAAAAGGATTATACACTGAGTAACTGAATCTCAGATGAAATGTTACTTTGACATTTGAAAATTGATCAGTGTAGTCTACCCACCAATAGACAATAATTACATGATAATTTTAATTGATTTAAAGAAAGGATTTTCTGAAATCCAATAGCCATTGATGATTAAAAAGAAAAAGGATTTGAGAAGCAGGGAAGCTACATCAACTTGATACAGAGTATCTACAAAGCAAAGCCAAAATCATATTTAATTGTGAAAGACTGTGAACCCTTTCTCATTAACATCAGAATAAGAAAAGTGTGTCTGTTGTCATCACTCGGTATATCTGAATGATGAAATTCTAATCATTGAAAAGAAATAAAAGGCACACATTGAAATGGAGTTAATGAAGTGTATGCCTTGTCATACACTTAGTAGCCCTCTGTAGAGGAGGCCCTGGTGGCCCTCAAAGAAATGAGGATACCTGGCAACAGCTAGCTTCTAAGTCTTCCTGCCAATAACCCAGCAAGTAAGGTATCTTGAAAAGAAATCCTTGAATCCTAGTCAAGCCTTGGATGACTGGAACAGCAATGGACAACTGGCCTACAATCTCATGAAAGACCCTGAACCAGCACTACCTTACAAAATCATTTCCAGATTCTTAATCCTCAGCAACTGTGAGATGATAAATGTGTGTTACTTTAAGTATTTTAGGGTAATTTGTTCTATTTTAACTTATAATGAATAAAAAGTGGAACAGTGTATTTGCAGAGACTAGGTGTATCTCTCTAGAAAACACTAATTCATTACAAAGAGTGAAATGGTGACATTATGAAGTAAAACCTTATCAGACTCTAGCTTGACCAGGAGATTAAAGATACCATATATATATTCTGTTTCTCTTTAACCCAAATACAATTAAGCTCCATGAAGGCAAGGAATTTGTCCTTTTTCATAAACCAAGTGTGAAGAACAAAAACTTGTATATAGTTGGTTCTCCAATGTTTAATAAACAAATGGATGGCTATATCAATGACTATCAAAGCATGTATATACGTCTATATTATTAGCAAGAATGTTAGGACTGGTGTAGTGGCTCAAGCTATAAGAGCACCTGGCTAGCAAGTGTGAGGCCTTGAGTTCAAACCCTAGTACCACCAAAATAAATAAACAAAAATAACTTCCATTTGGGCTGGTGAAGTGCCTCAAGTGGTAGAATGCCTACCTAGCAGGTGTGAGGCCCTGAGCTCAAATCCCAGTCCACCAAAAAAAAAAGAAAAAAAGAGTTTTAGAAATTCCTTAATTATTTATCAAAGAAAATATTTTTCCAATATTTATATTAGCTCTTGAAAAATTGATAATTAATTTTGACTGAATTGCCCAATACTTTTTTTCAAAAGCTCTGAATCTCAAGACCAAGTTGTCTTGAAGGGATAAGATTTATTATACATATTTTAGAAGATCTACTCACAGGTAAAATAATAAATTTAAATAGTCTCAACCTTGGTAATTACTTTAGGAAAATTCTGATAACCGATTGTATTATTCAT